TGGGACGCCTCAAGAGTAGGATGGGCAATTTAAATAATGGATGCGGCCGCAATTTTTCGTCAGTGCTACTGGGGCGACCAAATAGGACCACGCACTTCATTTTTCATAATACATACATTTTAGCAACGATCTATTCTCCGAACCCAACAAAAAAGGATTTGGAGCAAACAACAAAATATCCACATTCTGTATGTTTTTTGTTTGTTTGTTTTTGTTTTGTTTTTTAATGGCACAGGGTTCTCTTGTATGTAAATGACATTAAAGGATGGCACAAAATTGCCGAACAGCAAATCAGCATTAAATGCAAGAATGAATGTTTAGCTTTTTTTTTTAACCCCACAAAAATAGACTCACTCCAAATGTTAATATCATTGTGGCACTTTTTCTGTCCTGCATATCATTCCAAATTTGGTACAAAAAAATCCCACAAAATGGATGGGGGCAGGGGGGATCAAAGGGCCACTCAGAGTGTGGTCGGGGACCCGCCTTAAGACTCCGTCCAAGTTTCTCACTAAAGCTCCCGTGGTACATTTGTCAAAAATATTTAGGCTTATTTTTCTGACTTTTGAGGCTCCTTTTTCCTAATTTTGTGGCACATTTTCTCCAACTTTCAATATTTACATTTCGATTTATTTTTGTGGTATATTTTTCGGACTTTGAAGCCATATTTTCTGACGTTGAACTTTCAATGTGCATTTTCACCATTTTTGGGGCACTTTTGAAAATCTTTTCAGATTTGAAGTTTTAAATTTTTTAAAAAATGTAGCACATTTTGTTTGCTTTCAAGACTTATTCTTCTGAAGTTTTTATGCATATTACGAAGACTTTTAAAGCACTTTTGAGGCATGTTTTCAGATTCGTGACAGATTTTTCAAGCATCATTTTTCCTTCTTTTGAGCCATGTTTCTCTGACTTTTGACCATTTGTCAGCTTTCTGTCATGCTTTTGATCCATTTTTTTTTTTTTTTTTTTTACTTTGTGCTGCACATTTCCTCCAAATTTTGAAGGGCATTTTTCCAACTTTGTTTTTTTTCACGTCGGCTTGCACTTCAGCCGCAATCCTCTCCAATCCAGTTATTTTGAAGGACAAATTTCGTCAGCCAGGACGTTCGTTGATCAGGATTTCAAAAGGAAGGCCTTCGCGTCACGGAATTGGGTGTTTGAAGCGCCTGTTGCCGCGGCGACGCTCGTCATAGTTGTCACGTGGCGTGGGTAAACAATGCAAATGTTGGGAGCCATTAATAAAGCTTTAATGAGATGACTTCATTAAGTGCATAATGCGTGAAACGCAATTAAAAAGGACACATTGCTTTGCATGTGCCCCCTTACACACACGCACACACACAGTCGTTTTTTTTTTTGTTTTGTTTTTTTTTCTGCAACCATGAGGCCCTTCCGAATGCATTAATCGAGCGCATTAAATGCACATTGTGTCGCATCCCGTCCCGGGAGCTGCGCTGCAATTTGGGAGCGTGAAAGAAACATCTGTGAGCGTTTGGCTAAATGGAGCACTCACATCTTGCATCTTACATCTCAAGGCTTTTGTTTAGCGACACGGATAGGGTTTTTTTCTGGCGTATTATTCCAATTTTTCAGGCTAGTAGTGCAAAGTTTCCAACTTTGGAGGCAAGATTTTGCAAACCTTTGAGACATACTTTTCCAGCTCTTGAGGCTTTTTGTGGGCGTGATTGTTGGGCGTTAAAATAACAATGATAATAATGGTAATGATAAAATGAAGAATAATATTCAATTTTACGGGACTTTTCCTCCCTTCCAAGTTAAGGATTTTCAACATATTTTTCTAACTTTGTGGCATTTTTTTAACGCGTGTTTTTCTGACTTGAGAGGATTTTTTTTGTTTGTTTAGCTGGTTGATTGTTTTTGGAAAATGTCATTCCACGACAAGCAGATATGGACTCGAATTTGATTAATTGTTCAACCGTTGAATTTTGCCAGCTTTATGAGGCATATCTGTGTATCTTTTGCATCGTGTTTTTTTCCGATTTCCAAGGCTTTTTCTGTGGTGATGTCTGAGAGCGCCATGCGTTTCCTGCCGTTAATTGATACGAATGGCCAACACTGCCTGAGGGAGACGAGCGATGACGCCCATGTGCGTGCACACACACACACGCACACACACACACACACACACACACACACACACACACACACACACGCACACACGACACGTGATATAGGACCCAGCCACAAAATCAAGAAAGACGACTTGGCTGTAGCTGCAGCAATATGCAACCAACGTGTGCGTGTGTTGTAAAGTCACACTTAGGACGCTTGTTACTGCAGATGCACATTTTTACGCAAGCTTTTTCTCAACGTGTCAGCAAAAACATGTGCCAAATGACTATGAAATAACTTTGCCCCGTTCTGTCTTTTTTTTTTTTTACCACCCCCCCCCCTTTCTCGTCAGACATCTGCTCGTCCAAATGTCTTGGATAGGAGCGTATCTAATCGTCTGACAACCCCCCCCCCCACCCCCCCTTTCCAAACCCGTGAAAAGAAAAGGGAAAGACTTAAATGCAAGTCATTTGGATGAGTGCTGCTTCATATTTGTTGGCCGGAGGCAGCATCTGGAAGCGGCTCTTTTGCAATAAGAGATGGCACAAAGCGGGCCCTGGCGGCGCCCTGTTCAATCTCCAGCTCGTAAATAATTTGTGGCGGGCGCCGCCGTGGCCTGACATGTATATTATGGCGGGATTGGCGGCGCGTGGCGGCGGCGTGTGCGATTTTGATTGACAAGAAGTGAAGATGGATGATTGATGGGTGGGAAACTCACGGGGAATGTGAACCTCCGCCAGGCAGCTACGAAAACCACGCTGTACTAGCATGAGCGCAGCTCGGTTCAAGCTGCGTTAGATCCACTGCCACAAGTTCACTCCAGTGGTCCATAGTCTCATCTTGGATAACCTTTGTCTTTAGCACAGCTCTAAATATTGCAGCATTGTAATCCGCAATCTCCAGTTTGCTGCATTGGCCCTTAGTCACTGCATGGAATTTGTCATCACCACGTCATGACCCCTTAGCCCATAGTCTCCTTTCTAATAAAATTGTTCTCCATCCCCATATTGGACACTAGCCAAATAAGATAGTCGAAATATCTGAAATAATGTGTAAATTCTTTCCATTGGAAAAAAAAGAAAAAAAATGCATCCATTCACTTACATTTTTTTTCATTTTTAGGTTTATACATTTTTCCCCCCACAGGAAAACTAACCATTAGAGCTAATAACTTAATACTTGAAATGCAGGAGGCTTTGAAGTCACGTTTAGCGACATTAGCTTTTAAGCCCTCCCTCAGCGGCGCACTGACATTGCAGCGGCGGATGATTTTATCGTCTTGCGGGCTTTTATGTAAATACATCATTGTTGCACGTGTGTAGACTCGAAACGCGCTATAGATCATTGCGGTCAACCATCCGAGGCAGTCGGCCGTGTAACCACACACATTGTCACACTTCACCTCTCCCGCCATCCGCCTGTGTGACGCTTGTGCAGCCCACCGCGCGTGTGCGCACACACACACACACACACACACACACACACACACACACACACACACACACACAAATGCACATGCACAGAATGGGGAATAAGTTGGGCGGAAGTAAGCGGGTCATATCCCACTATGATTCCTGCCGCACTTTGTCTGATGCGGGAGGAATGAAGCGGCAAGGGAATGGGAATATTATGCAAATGAGGCTGGGATTGTAACTGGTGATGACATAGAGGGAAATGGTGGGATTTAAGACCCCCCGCGCGGGTAAAAGAAAGTGTTCGAGCACAAGGGGGGGGGGGGTCGCCAAGTTAGTCGAAGCTTCCTTGCATGACTTCCCATTCCTGTCAATGTTGTTTTTTTCCCCGTCTATCAGGCGACTATGTTTGTGCCCCAGGAAATCTGCCTAGCAACAAGCGACAGTGCAGTTCAGATTCCAACGGGATCATTGTTTTTTTTGGTTGTTTTTACATTACGGTTGTTCAAAATAAAAAATATGTCAAAAATGTCACGCGGCGCCCCCTTCAGGCGCATCATTCCAACGTCAGGACAGTGTTGGCGGCGCTGATGGCGGGGGCACGATTGATTGGCAGCCACATGGGATGAATCACCCGCCGCCGGTGTGAGTGACACTCGAGGGGCTTGACGGCTACTTTTTCAAAATGGTCACACTCGCTGATTAACAGGGAGGACGAGGAGGAGCGGACCTCCGGCGGCGAACAAAAACAACCCGTTTGTCAAAGAGGAAATCAATTCAGTCTTAGTGCAAAATTTAAACACAAGGACAGAAGGCCATAATTCTCTCGGTTGGGTGTTTTTGTGAAAATATCAAAGAAAAGCCACTATTTGTAATAAAATGTGTTTTTTGTAATCACAGGATTTATAATTTGGTCTTTGATGAAGCTATTGTGCGCATTTTTGGATCCATGATTTTAATTTTTAATAAACTTAACGGACGTGTTTTTGTAAACAGGCAATTTACTTTGATGACCTAGTCTTTAAACAAAAGAAACAAATGTCATTGGAGACAATTAAGAGGACATTTGACCCTCGACTAGAATTCGACCCCCAACATAATTTTAATAAAAGATGAGTGGGAGGGCCTCCTCTTCATTTTGACTGATGGGAGGATGCCGTCAAAGAAAAACGGCTGGACTGTGGCGCCCCCTGTGGGTGGCTCTAACGCAGTACACTTCACACTCAAAACATTCTACAGGCTGAATTTCAATCACCCACACATACTCTGAAACGCTAAATCTAAATTCAGTCATGTTTATCTAATCTATCCACTGTGGTGGTTGTATTTTTTTTTTTGGGGGGGGTCGGAGTTAAGATGACTTCTGTTCATTTTGCTGTTAACAACTTGTGATGTTCAAGACACTCATCATGTTCATGATTTGCCAGATAAATGTCTATAAGCTACCGAGCTTATATAAATCTGCAGGTTTTTCACATTTTCAGATGACCACAATTTTCCAGGGAAATTACAATGCCTCATTCTTGGTGAGCTATTTTTAATTTTCAACAGCGGACAAAAATACAGAACATTTTCTTTCATTTTTTTTTTTTGACCAGAAGTCCTAGTAGCCTTTACAACATCTGATTGGAGCAAAAAACAAAAACAAAAAAATCGTAAAGTTGAACATTTCATGTTTGCAAAGCCACATTGGATAGGCGAGTGCAGTAGCACCAAATAATGTGAGCAATCAGACTGAGAAGCTGAATTGATGGTTCTCTTCATCGCTATTGTCTTCAGCCCACTCGCATGGCCGCTTGGCCTGGAAGTGTACCTGAGCATTGCTCAGGTACACTGCGGGGACTTCTTCGCTGATGCCCTTGCTTCTTGTCTGGAAGAACACACACTGTGTTAAGTGTCTGAAATATTTCGAGTACATTTATCCAGGTATACATACATCTAAACATGTATGTAAAATTGGTCCTTGAACCAACCCCAAAGAAAAAGGTCATAGCGTGCACCATTGCAAATACAAGCTGATAAAAGGAGCGAGTTACTTTTCAATCGCATTATTTTCAGACGCTGGGTTGGTCAGTAATTTGTAAAACTAACACACGATTATGATTTTAGTTGTTCTTTTTCACTTATCCGTACTTCACTTTGGTGTTTTTAGTTTTTTTATTTATTTGCGTGGAACCACACCTTCACTTTTGCTTAGAACTGATGGAAAGAAAAAAAATGTCGATTGGGCGGCGATAGTTGTGACCCAGGAAATCTGCTCAGCAACAAGCGACAGGGCAGTTCAGACTGCGACGTATCGGGTCTGTTAAAACGTCACTCGGGGCCTCCTTCGGGAGTAAAAACCAGAATTCGAAGAGGCCCAAGATGTTCATGTGTATACCTCTTTGGACTGCTTCTCTTTTGGAAATGCGTACATGCCAAATTTTCTTTGCCTACTCAGAGAAAGAAAAAACAACATCTCGTCAGCATGCTTTCATGCCGTGTATTTTTCTTCATTTGGTTAATGAAACATTAAATATTCAACTCTCACCCGTGTTCAGCTTGTGGAGAAGTATCTTGTAAAAAGCTGCCCTTGGGCAGTTCTTCAGCCATGTCGGTCGTTGACGGATCCTACACACACACACACACACACACACACACACACACACAATATATTAATCATGCTAACCACAGAACAGAAAACGGGACTCACACATAGGATATTAATAGGTATCAACATTGATTACATATTATTCTTTATTTTGAATAGACTTAGTTATTCTGAATTTATGTCAAAGTATGTTGCCACCTTTTTATATTTCAAGATATTTAATACGACACGTTTTGCTCAAACTTATTTTTCCTTGCCTTTTCTTTGTCTTTTTTGTTTTGATGCCACGTGAAGCAACAAAGAGTCAGAAAACATTCCTTGTAACCAGTGCTTTGACGCATCGGTACAGAGTAGCAGTGCTTCGGAATTTTAGCCTTTAACCTTTTTTTCTCTTGCAACAATCACACCAAAAAAAAAAATAGATTTGAGAGTTTATTTGGCGTGCGCGCAAACAGACGAATAACCAACACGCCGGTAACGCAAAGGCTGTCTTCAAAATAATGGCTTTCCAAATACAGTACAGGACTACACTTACGCCATGCAACAACCTTAACTTTTGTTTTGAAGTTCTTCCGCGAGGTGGCGTTACGGCAAGCTTGACAAGTCATTTTGACGTGCCTTATCACAGATTGAATTGACATTGTTGCTAGTTTAAAACAGCTGCGCCCACAAAAATGTTGGTGTGGCTCCAAAAGGAGTGGACTGGTGATAAAGCTTGTGCCGATGACACGAATTTATCTCGCCGGCGAAGAGCAGCAGCAGTCTCACGGTAACGGTCGCCCTTCCGATCCACTTGTTGCTAGCAATGTCGGCAAAAATGATCCAGAACAAGAATGCCCAGGCTGCTAGTCCAAAACAGCCAAATCAAGTATCAATTAACTCTTTAGCTCATCTAACTAGTAAATACTTATAAAATGTTATATATTTAGTTTTATGTATTATCCCCATTGCCTAATGTACCTGCCAAATGAAGGTAGTACTGTACCAGCAACGCCCCACCACACAACTGAAAGAGTTCCGTCTTATTTAATCAATGAATCCAATATTATTTTAAATTAGGACAACCCAAAATGATAGCTTTAGTTTGCTTTACTAAATAACTTGAGTTGAAGGTAAAACTTTCAGGTTGCACCCGTTGTATTATTTTTTAATTGCCTAAATATTTACTGACAGATTACTTCAGTGTTGTGAAATTTTGTTTTTTTTTTTCAGTGCAGCTCCAGTTTGGACGAGTGACAGCACTTGAAACAGTTGCAAAAAAAGTATTGTTTTTTTTAAAGGTGTTTTATCTCTCATTTAAGTTGTCACCCACTGTCCCGCTGCTGTTTATCAGTCACAACTTTGAATCATAAAGAGGGGGTAGCTTTGTGTGTGTGTGTGTGTGTGTGTGTGTGTGTGTGTGTGTGTGTGTGTGTGTGTGTGTGTGTGTGATGCGGGAAGTTTAATATGCAAACCTCTGGGTGGTGAATGACTCACCTTTCCAGCAAAGAGAATGTTGCTCATGCTGTAACTGAATTTGTTAGCTCTGTGGAAGGATAAGAAGGGAAAAAAAACAAGCGCACACAAAAAAATCTCAGACAATGTTTGATCTCCAGCAATCACATCTCGTGGAGGATGACATCTCACTTGTTATCTGCGGTCAACTCGCTGGTCTGGACCTCACCAAAATCTTTCCCTGAGATCTGCGCATCTTCATGTCTTAGCTGATGGGAACTTCTCTTCCTGTGTGTGTGTGTGTGTGTGTGTGTGTGTGTGTGTGTGTGTGTGTGTGTGTGTGTGTGTGTGTGTGTGTGTGAGAGAGAGAGAGAAGTCACTTTTAATGAGTGGTGAACGCATGAAGTAATAAAAAAAAAGAACTTTGCGGGAGTTTTGCTCCGATGTATTAGGCGAAACATGCAAACAGTAAAAAATATGGAAGCTTGCTGACAGGTGGGACAATGAAAGGGTGAACATGAAAAGGTCCCTTTTGAAACTCACATTTTCAACCTGCAGATGAAGAAAATAAGCACCGCGACGAAGAGCACACAAAGAGGAGGGATGATGAACTTCAGGAACCAATCTGTGGGGGACAACAGACAGACCATTAGGTACACGATACCGAGACTTACGGAGTGTGTACCGCCCCATATGGATTTTTTGGGGGGGGGGGGGGGATGTTGATTCTGATTATTAGGCAAGAAAAAAAAAAATCAGCTAACAAATGAATTACCCAATGACTAAAAAAAAACAACATTTCTACAACTCTACCCACCTGCGTGGAATGATGGCCTGGTTATCTGCATGACTTTGAGTACATCTAAAGACCCACATGAAAGAAAGGAATGAATGCGTTCATCTGTAACTTCAGTCAAAAATGCAGCCGAGCAATGTCAGCTTTTGAAACTCACTGCTGATGCCGACCTCCACCGAGGGCGACCTCGCCGAGCCCACCTCGTTGGTGGCCGTACAGGCGTAGAGGCCGGTGTCGGCGGGCGTGACGGACGTGATGGTCAAGTTATGACTGCGGGTTAAATTGCGGGACCTTGTGCCGTTCACTTTCCACCATGTCACCGACTCGACGGGCGGGTCCGAGTCGGCGTCGCACTGCAGCGTCACCGTCGCGTTTTCCGTCACCACCAGAGAAGGCTGAGCTCTCACTGTCACGTTTTTGGGAGCATCTGACGCAGAAAGTACAAAGGGAATGGTTGGCGCAAAAAAAAAAAAAACGAAGTGCAGCGCCTCCAATATTTGATGCCGTACCTCACTTGATCACAACAGCCGCCTGTTATTTCGTGAAAGTGTTGGTTGAGCACAAAGTGTGACATCATTTGAACCACAGCACCACTCATTCAAGACCGAAGGTTTTACCACCGCTACCTCAAACGGTGGCTTCCGCACGAATTGAAGCCGCGCCTCAGTGAATCAAGTTTTCACGCCACAAAATGTCAACTTTTCGGAGGGATTTTTTTCACATCACTTCTAAACAAAAAAACATAAAACACCACTGTCCCAATCACAGCGAGCCTCCGCAAAAATTCACACCATAGCCCCAATTAACTCCGGTTCTCCGCGCCGCGTTGTTTCATGAGCAAGCAATGACTTACACGTGACTTTCAAAGTCTTATGCGTCCTCCGTCTTCCCAAGCCATTGTCGGCCTCGCACGTGTAAACGCCGCCGTCCGCCCAGGTGGCTTTGAAGGTGTGGGACAGCGTGTTGTTTTGGACGGCGTTGCCATGGGAACTGGCGCCGGGCCACGCGGGCGACCAAGCGGCCGACTGCCTGGTCAGGGTGAGGGTGGAGAGCGGGTCGCTTTCCACCGAGCAGAGCATGTTGACCCGCTCGCCTTCGGTCACCTTGGTCGTCATGCATAGCACCGGTTCGGATGGACCGTCTTGGGGGGGGGGGGAATTCAAATATGCATATGCGTTTTATTGCGTGGATTGACTTTCGCTTTCTTTGCTTCTCAGCGACGTTGACGTTCAACTTACCGTGGACCGTGACCTCGACGGGGGCTGACCTCGCCGAGCCCAACTCGTTGCCGGCCGTGCAAGCGTAGACGCCGGCGTCGGCAAGCGCCACGGACGACAAGGTCAAGGTTGGTCCCTGGTTTACAATTTGTCCCGCCTTCCACCATGTCACCGAACGGATGGGCGGGTTCCAGTCGGCGACGCAGCGCAGCGTCAACGACGTGCTTTTGGCGACCACCAGGGACGGATCCGCTTTCACCAACACGTTTCTGGAAGCATCTGGCAAAGAGATAAAGAGGTTCAGTTATGTCATACGAGACTGAAAAATCAAAACGCCACCGTCTCAAATAATTCGATGATGGCTGTTGTCCCCAAAGGAAGCCGCTAAGACATGGGTGTCAAACTCAAGGCCCGGGGGCCAGATCCGGCCCGCCACGTCATTTTACGTGGCCCGCGAAAGCAAATCGTCGGCGTCAACTTGCATGGTCCTTGTACTGGAATGTCAAATTGCCATGTGTGATAAATAACGTTGAGATTTTGCAATTGTTTTGTTTCCCTGTTGACACTCAATCAATAAATGAACAATTTCTTCTTGACTGATTTCAAAACTCCGTCATCCATCCATCGGTTTGTGTACAAGTAATAATTTGATAAGACGATTAAAGGCGTGGTTTGGACTTTTCAAATCCGCCTCAACATCATCCGCTGACTAAAAACGTCCGTCGCCACAACTTGAAATCAAGTCGTTGCATCTGCGCCTCCGTTCATGATGGCCTTTCATTAAAAAGGCCAGATTTTATTTTTCCCTCACAACATGGCTCACGAAGACCACAAACCTGATCGTCACGACCTCAAATCGTCACCTTTGGTCTTGTAAACGCCACACCGAAACCATTTTTTTTTTTCCGGCACAAGAAAAATGTATCGCCACTCTTTGCTGCGCTCAAATTGTCGCCGTCGCTAAATGGCCTTGTTTGCATACGCTCGGCCGGTTCCTGAGTAAAGCAAAATGACATACACGTGACTTCCAAAGTCTTCTGCGCGCTTGCGCTTCCTTCGCTGTTGGCAGCCGTGCAGGTGTAAACCCCTGCGTCATCCCAGGTGGCCACAAAGCCAAAGGTCAGGAGATTGTATTGCACCCTCATGTCAAGTTGATTCGTGACAGACCGCACGGATGACCGGTCGACGGACGTCTTGGTCAAAGTCATGTTGGAGAGCGGCAAGCTTTCCACAGAGCAGCGCACGGAAACCAGGTCGCCTTCGGTGACCGTGTCAGGCACGGACAACAGCAGGTTTGTCGGACGGTCTTGGATTAAAAAAAAAAAAAAAAAAAAAAGAAGAAGAAAAACTTCAGACACTGGCGATTTTAGAGGGTCCGAAAATGACTGGCGCTGAATGAGTTCAGTGAACTCACACATGACTTGGATGCACAGCGGTGGACTGTTTTCGCCGAAACCAACTTGGTTGATGGCGCGGCACGCGTAGCACCGGCGGTCGCTCAGCCGCACCTCGCGCACCAGCAAGTGTTCCTCGTTGCCATTGGACAACTTATCCCACGTCCTCCCGTCTTGGCTGAGCAGCGACCAGTCATACTCGTCGGGCTTGGGGTTGGCGTCGGCGGCGCACCGCAACAGGGCCGATGCGCCCGCTTTGACCATGGGGCTGGTTGACCCCATGATGGAAAGGCTGGTTTCCCGCGGCCGGTCTGCAAAGCCGGAGAAGAGGTGTCAACGACGCCCCGTCGTCCCGGCGACCCCTCAAAAATGCTCAGACTCACATTCCACGTCAACGAGAAGCTCGGCCGAAGTCGCTTTCATGTCTTTGAAGCCCGCGTTGAAGGCGGTGCACGTGTACCGTCCGATGTCCTCGGGCTGCACCGACGACACCATCAAATTTCGCCGCGACGCCACGAGTTTGTCGTCTTTGTGCCACATGAAGCTATCGGGCCAGGGGTTGCCTCTCTTCACCTGACACAACAGTGTCATGGCCTCGCCCTGGTTGAACTTGGTCCAGGAAGAACGGACCTCGACAGTCGGAGGGTCTGAAAAGACGTTTGCGTATTTCAGAATGAACGGGCCCGTTTCCAAGTGCGCTGCCGCGCCAGGGCCGTCAGGCCACCGTTAATATCGGACCCTGCGCAATGTGAATGGGCATTCTTTGCGCTAACGCACAGATGCGCCGAGATGTGAATGACCTGCGTCTCCACCGGCAACTTTGTGCCATCTCGAAGCCACTCAAACGTGGGGCCGGGGTTGCCCTTGGCGGTGCAGGTCAAGGTCATGGTGTGTCCTTCTTGGAAGTACGTGACGCCTTCGGGGAGGCTTAGATGAACATTTTTTGGGCTGTCTGGAATTGGGGGGTGCGGGGGGGGAAGAATAAGTCAGGCTTCCGAAAAGTCACCATCAGCTTTTCGTCAATTTTTTTTTATTTTTTTATTTTTACGGTAAGCAATTCCCAAGACCTTATCAATGTGAATTTTTTTTTGAAGTGAGAGCCAGGTGAAGAAATGTGGAAAAAGCTTCCCCCCCCCCCTTTTTTTTTTTAATTTTGTAAATGAAAATGAAGACTGAGTATCAGTCATTTTGTACAAACTAACAAAATCACTGATACTAAAATAAATTCACATTGATAAGATCTTGGGAATTGCTTACCGTAAAAAAAAAAAAAAAAAAAAATCATCTATATTTTTGTACTTAAGTCATTTTGGAGTCTATACTTTTCAGTCCCTTAACCATATAACCGCCCAGCTCATTTTTTTGCATACGGTTACAATCTC